GTTGTAGTGGTTTCCTCTATAGCAGCTGCCTGGGACTACTTAAGAGCCCAGTTTAGCTCTTTATAGAAACAAACCCAGTCTTTTCCAGCAGGTTATTTATTTGTGCTATAAGCAAACTGTGAAGGCCACAGGGCTGTGTTTTGTAGTAGAGGGAAATGGCTGATCAACAGCTTCGAGTGGGGAGGAAGTATTTGTTAAATCCAGCAGTAAAACACATCAACATCCTCCTTGTTTCTGGTTTTGAAGTCAACTTCTTTTAAACCCTCGCAGTTCATTGAAGCCCTGTCTCTGAAATGATGCCTGCAGCACAGTTAAAGCTGAATTGTGGTTCTCTCCCCTTCCTAATGCACCCATCCAGGGAATAAATATTGCAGCAGGGGAAGCTGCGTTTCCTTCCCAGACAAACCAGGGCCAGATACTTCCCTCAGCAAGGGCTGGGGTTCCTGATTAGCAAGTTTCAAGGGTTGGTCTGAACACTGAAAAGCAGCTTGATATTATCATTACTCACCTCACTGGTGCAACTGGCAAGAGCTTTAGTGCCCTCCCTTTAATCCAGAGGGTGAGAGGCTGCCTATTGCAAGAAGTGTGCACTTCACTAGGACAGATCAAGAAGACCCCCTGGTGAAGGGGCAGATGCTGAGTAAAACACCCTATTTCCTTCCTTTGAGCACAGCCTGCCCCTCTCAAACCTCCTGTTGGCAGGTGGGGAGATGGTCTTTGCTGCTAGAGACACGGGAGGGAACCCAGCTGCTGTTTGCCAGGAGCAGGACCACAGCCAGGGCTCAGGCCACAGTGCATCAGCAGAACTCACAGCATATTTTCTTCCTGCAAAGCTGTGTCTAACACTTGATCTGCATTTACAAGTCAGTAAAACGGTGCCAAGAAATGTTTCCCTGAACTGGAAAGTGCTCATTTATTCTGCTAAATCATTAACATAGTTCCCAGCATAGCATTGGCCAACTCACACGCATGCAAACAACTCCTGGGCATGGACTGGGAGCCAGCACAGGAATCCTTCCTGATCTGTGGTTCAATTCCTGCTATGCAGCTGCCCTGCTTGGAAGATAAGGTTCATGTTTTGGCATGTGTCACCCTCTGCCAGCTGCCTGGGTGCCAGCAAATAGCCCTGGGCATATTTAGGCCACCAGAGCCAATGCAGTCAGTATTGCTAAGTGCCTTCAGATTGTGCCAGTACAACAACAGACACAGCTCCTACCTCAGATCACTTCCCACCTGGCTCTAACCTCTGGAAAGAGCTGCAGTCTTCACCTCCTGCTCTCTGGAGATGATTAAACATCTCTGCAACGCCATTCCAAACTCAAAGATGTGGCACAGCAGCACTCGTGAACACAGGGCAAGAAGGAAAGAAGAGACAAAAATGTGTATGAAACAAGACTGACACTCAAATGAAACAGAAACGGGCCCTGAGGTGTCTTGACCTGCCTCTTTCCTGCATTAAACTGCTTGCCAAAGCAAGGAGCTTCCTTCACCAGTCCTTGGAAAAGGCAACACTCCAACCCCACGTGGCAATTTGCAGCTTGCCTTTAGAGTTTCAGGGGAAAACCTGCTTAACAGCAGATGGGTTGTGTTTGTGTTGAAGGGAGCACACCCAGACACAGGCCTTCCAGGAAGCTCAACAGGCTCTTGCAAAAGCTCCTCCTTCCAAGTGTCTTCTGAATGCAACAGAAAGTGAAAAAGTGTGTCAAAAGCTCAGGCTGAGCCCACAAAACCTCTGTTCCCCTTCTCAACCCCTCGGGCAGCCTCAGCTCTCCAGGTGTATCAAAGACAACCTATGATCACAAACAAGACAGCACTGTAATGTTCAAGCCCCAGGGGTGAAGTTCACTTACTCCATTATTTATTATAGGTATTGTATAAATGACTCTATCCACAGCAATAACTATTCCCTGATAACACTGGAACTTCATGAGGATAGAAATAGGAATTTTTCCTGGCTGCCTGAACAGAGAGGCCATTCAAACATCCAGGTAGCAAAAAGCTCAGGGAAAGGTGTCTGATTCCATTGCCTGAACATCAAGAGGCTTTGGCTTAGACACATTTGGAAATGCACGTTTCCTGCTGGATAACCCTATGAAGTCTTCAGTTCTTCACCAAGCAGTTGTGACACGTCATTTGGAGCAACTTCATCTTAAAACCCTTGAGACAAAGAGCATGGTTCTCCCTGTGGGCACCCCTCACACTCCAGGGAGTTCTGTACCCACTTCACGCTGATGAAGAAACATGTGTGGTTTGTTAGAGGGGAGACAGCACCGCAGCACCTTAAAATCCTTCCAGGTTTATTTGTCTTGTAGACTTCATCTTGCTCACTGCTTGAAGGGCAGCAGCAGAGGTTGGACTGTCCAGATCAGGTCCCCCAAAGAGCCCTTGGATGCACTGGCCATAAAATAGCTGCTCACAAGCATGCGAGTGCCTGGGAGCTAAGGGCAAAGCAGGGAAAGCTACATTAGTTTCCTCCTCATCCTGAGGATGTTCCTCCTTTCCCCAGTGCCCCAACCCCGACACATGACCTCCAGCTCACTTGCTGGACTGGTATCAGCCCTCAGGAAGGAACCAAGACTCTTCCAAGCAAAGAAGACCCAAACCAGAGCACATCAGCTCAGCTGACAAGGTCAGCATCTCACTTCCACTTCCTGCAACATCTCAGCCAGGGCCCCAGGTCTTTCCTCACAGACACCCACTTCAGCAACTGAACTGAAGCCACACTGGGCTCTCCAGCACAAGCAGTCCTGTGTGTCTGCAAGGACACAAGTTGGGAATGAGAGCCTGACACTGGCCACTGTCCTACGAAGGTGGGAGAAGGGGGTTTAAAGCTCTCCAGTCACTGAAGAAACTGACTTTTCTTTCCACTTCCTGAGCACGTTTTCTAACCATTAGTGCATCGCAGGAAATGCACATCACCACTTCCTGGCCAAGGGGGATTTTGATTTATTGTTGTTGGGGTTTATTATTTTAAGTAAGCTGTACTTAATTCCCTCAAAGAAGAGACACATGCAGTTGTCTTCAGGTACTGCTGTGGCTCTAGGTTCCCAGTAGACACAGGCATTATCCTACCATCTTGAGATGCTTCGTGCTCAGAGGGCTAGGATTTCAGCCAGCAGGTTCCTAGCATTCCCCACCACCCCCCAAGCAGCCCCACAACAGCCATGGCAGCTCCTGGCCTTGAACACTGCCAGAGATGGGCAAACCCACATGGCTCATTACCACACATGGCACTGGAACAGCCCCACCAACTCGGGGATCAGTTGCTTAGCTCAGTTCCTCCCCACTTCAAATGGTATTAAAACAGCAGCAAGAAAACCCACCCCAAACTTACTGCACTACATAGCAGGGAAAGCTCTTGGAGATCCTGGAATGACACCGCCACACACACACAAGCATTAGAAAACGGCTAAGTAACACAGGCAGGGTTGTATTTCATCACTCCAAGTAAGACAGAGCCACACACACATCTGAAGACAACTCTTGCTCTTGGAATTCTTATTTATTAAGAGCAGAAAGGAAATTTTGCTGAAGTTTTATACATAAAAAAGTAAACCGTAAAGTCTTTCCACTGAAGAAAAGTGAGCAGGAAGTGGGCTTTTTTAGATACTGTTTATTTAAAAAAATAAAATTGACAAAGATACCACACTCTTTTGCACTCCTCATCCCTTGACTTGCAGAACCCTGTTCAACACGTTGTCCTTTAGCAAGAAACCGCTTTACCAGCAACACACAAGCAAAAGGAACCACCTCAGTCTGGACTCAAGCCCCGAGAGCTGCTTCAGCTGCACAAGTAGTGAGATATCTCTGGTTTTACCAGCTCAGGTCTTTAGTAAAGAAATTTCAAGTGGACACTAAACAAGTATTTCACTAAGAGATGATGAAATATTAAAATTAAAAGCAAGTCTTAATTGCAGCTGTAATTCTACTACATTAGAAACGTCAGCTGTTGGGGATCCATTCACCATAGATAGATTAGTTTGTAATCAAGGTAATTACAAAGACAGAGCATTACTCCCTGCATGCTTCCCTGGGCTTCGAACCAAGAGTTGACTACATGTAGAGTTGACTAGGGTGTACTTGGAATTCACTCTCTCAGGCAGGAGACTAGTTAAGGAGTGTTACTGATAACAAAGAATAAAAGTTATACAACACTGATTATGATAAATTACTTTGTTCTTATCTGCTTTTTGCCTTAGTCTCCTATGTATCTTCACATCCTTTCATGTAGAAAACCAGCTCTTTCTTTAGTTCTCCTTCTGGTGACTCCCCGTTTCCTAATGGTGGTTAGAATGTGTGGAGGACTTGATTCGGAACACGTGGATGTGCAGATGGGCAGCAATCTGATTACACACACTGACACAGTATCGGAGCAAATCAAAGAGGGAGAAGATCTGCCAAGGGAAAGAAAACGACACATTCGAGTCTGTGTTTTCACAACACCTTCAGAATAAAAGCACTGGGGTCCTCTTTTTACTAAGTGAATCTCAACTCTACAGGAATAATCACTTGGGAAGAAAGAGTTTCCAGGCACTCTGGGCTTGCTTCCAGCTTTGCAAGAACACAGACTTCATTCTGGAGTCAGAGAGGGGAAACCAGTTCTCATGGCTATACAGATACTGTGAACTGTCCCCATTAGCTCTGAATGGGGAGAACCCTACAGAAAACATCCATTTTATTCAAAGGTTAACCCTGCATTTTGGTAGATAACACCTGAGTGCTTGCTAAGCACACATGAGCTTAACTTCAGGTATTTTTATCTAATGGGTGCTGTTAGGAATGACAGATGGACATGCCTTCGAGAGCTTAAGGCACAGCCAAGCTACACTCACACTGCACATAATAAATTCCCTTCCAAACCAGACAGGAACATGAATTCTCAAAATATGCTATTCAAAGCTTTGAGTATTTGCTGCATTGCTTTAAAACTGCTTGATTTATACACCAAACCACCATGTTTACCTCTTAGCATCGGCTCTGCTTAAAATGAACTCAGTGAAGTTGGTTTCCACCACCCTCAGCCAGACTCGAGCAGTGCAAAGAGGGCTTGTGGAAGAGCACCCAAGTGCTTGTGATGACTGCTAACAATCCTGCACTTACCAGAGCAACCCAGAGTACAATGTACTCATCAATAAAGCTGTTAAAATACTGGTCCAGAAACAACAGTGCTGGGCCTATGAATGCTGTGTCATAGAGGTGCATCTCGCTTTTGGTCATGTGGGCAACCTACATTGAACAGAAAAAGGAAGTTTAAGAAGTAAATATACACCAGATCAAGTAGAATGACTTCAGCCTACACAAAGCCAAAAAAGCCAAAGTTCAAGCCACCTTACCGGAAGATTATATAGAGTATTAGGTTTGGGTTGGAAGGGACCTTAAAGCTCACTCAGTTCCAACCCCCTGCCACAGGCAGGAACACCTTCCACTAGAGCAGGTTGCTCCAAGCCCCTGTGTCCAACCTGGCCCTGAACACTGCCAGGGATGGGGCGTATCAAGTGCTTCAGTAGTGGCAGCAATACTGGTTTTACCATGAAAGTCTACAGCTATACAGGAAGGTCTGCAGAGAAGTATCTTCTCAGAACAAAGAATGTTGCTACAGGAAAAAACCTAACATGTTTTCCAGCCCACAAACTCTTCCTCCTGCCAGAAACAAAGCAGTGACATGGGAGTAGACTGATAAGTTTTAAGGTTTAGCTGAGCCTGGAAACGAAACCTGCTGCTGGATCTTCAAAACTCAGATACTTGGTGTTCCTCTCCCTCCTGCTATCTGTTCCCACCCCAGAAGGAGCACCACCTCTCTCTGGTGTGGCCTTCCCACCCTCCCCCACATGCACAGCAGATGTCCTACCCCACATCCTCATTCCTAACAGCCCAACACAGTTGATGGGACTGTGTAGCAAACAGATCTTGGTAAGAAATTGACTTTTCTTCCATGATGAGTTACATCCAGTACTGATCCAGTGCATGTGGCAATGCAACCCAGGCCTGCAGAACCAGGATGCAGGTTCAGCCTGTGGGGCAGCAGTTGTTTCATCCCTCATTCACTCTGTTCAACAGGGGCTCCTCTGGTCCATCTGCCCCCTGGTACAAACCTGTTGTTAATGTTTTAGCCACCATCTCTCTCCAAGCAAGTTAAACCCTGAGCAACTGTTCTAAACCTCAGCAGCTCTGTCACCTTCTCTCCTCCCAGACGTTCCCCCCCTCTGCACTTGCATCTGAGGGGGGTTTCCGCACCAGCCCAGCTCATCACACGTGTGCAAATACACTGCAAAAGGGTGAATAAACAGCTGGGAAAGGGGAAGAAACAGAATGCAGGCAACTGTAAACTGCACTGCACTGTGTAACCATGGCATTAGCTTGAGGTTTACCAGTCCCTTTTCAAAGACAAGAAAGGCTCTGCTGCACCTCCAAGCTACTAAAAATAAGCAAAGCACGAGTATCGCTTCAGTACACAAACAGAAGTCACTCACTCACTGGAATAACCAGAGAACTTGCAACTCCACAGAAGGTTTTACTGCAATAACAACAAACTCAAGGGTTCTGGTGCACTTACCACGAGTTTGTTTGTTATCTTAGCAGATACAAAACCAAAAGTGAGTATGTATAAGCAGGGATGCCTTTCGAAGAGCTGCACTGCAGATTTCTTGTAGATCATTGCAGCTAAGGCAATCACTGACCCGATATGAAGAAAAGGGGAGAGGACACTCGTTCCCTAGAGAGAGGGATTAAAAGCATTAGGTTAATAAAATGTACATGTTGCAGAGAAACCCCAGGAAGCCAAACACATGGTGTGCAACGGGTGGCGTTTGATTAAAATCACATTAAAAACATGTCTTTCTGAATACCAACAGGAACAAAGGGTGGTGAAACTCGAGCAAGCATCAGCTGAGAGTGTGGTTCTGACACGTCACATAGGCCCTGGCTAACGCTGTTACAAGGGCAGGAGACCAAACTTGTACAGCTTTCTCTGTACCAGCTAGAAAGCAACTAAACCAGCCTGTCTGGTGGCAAATAATTATTAGGCTGGTAGACAACTGCCTTTCGGAAAACTCCCAGGGCTCCAGAATCAGCCACCACCTTCACCACCACAGGAGGTGCTTGTGCAGATGCCTCCACCTGCACTTCTTCGCTGGCAATATGACTAATCCAGATCTTTTAGAAGGCACAAAGCCATAAGCAATCCTCTCAAATTGCCTTCTGAATGGATTTTACACTGGACTTTTCTATGAACAATCTGGGGGGGAAGTGTATTTATACAACCTGTTTCATATGATCAATTCAAAAGCAAATATCAAAGTACCATGAGCACTTTGAAACACTCCAAAATGTTAAAACTCTTGACTCCTAAAGGTACTTTTCTTACACAGACAATATTAACTTGTTTTTCCGAAGGCAAGCAAGGAAATGAAAGTAAAACATTTCATATGTAGGAGGTATTATGGCAACTACAAACTCACAGCATGGCTGAAGAACCACAGCGCGCTGCAGAGTAACCACACGGAACAAAGTACTTACTGCTATAGTGGATCCGTTTTTGCCAACTCCACCTGTGAAGATCACACCAAAGTAGTTTGTGCAAGAGAATATGGTTCCTGCCACAGTACAGAGAGCTGGGAATATTTTCATCTGGATATTCAGGATTGGAATCTTAATGGAAGAGAGACAAGGAGTTAGGATACGCACAAGGAAGCCAGACTGGGATTAACACTTCTGGTGCACTCAAACACTCCACTTTCCAACACCACGTTTGCTTTTCTTTCTCTGCTATGCAGAGACTTAGATTTCTATAAGGCACAGAAAAATATGTGTTTTTTCCCCACTAATCCTTCCATCAAGCTTTCCATAAAGCCAGGCTTATCTTCAGTTACCTGAAAAGAGCCACCAAAAGCAGAGAAGTGGACAGACAGCAAGAACAACCCAGCCAGCACATGGAGGAGAAATGCAGCAGTCATCTTTTCTGAAGCTGGTTGTAAAACTCACAGCTGCAGCCCAAGGTCAAACTGGCCAAAGCAAGAGCTATTGGAGATGGTGAAACAAAGTCCCTTAAACTGGATCCTATCTTACAGGCAAGACAAGGGAAGCAAACAGACATCAGACAAGTCATGTCAGTCAGCGAGCCAGGAGAGCAAGCAAGGAGGTTGCCAGAGACCTGGAAAATGAGCACAGGCTGGAGTTTTCTTCATGACTTAATAGCAGTGTTTCAAGGACAGAAGCTACAAGTGAAGAAAGAAGAGTTCAACGTAAGCCACAGGAAATACATTATGGAAGCAAGTGTTTAGAGAGAACAACCCAAACCTTCCCAGCTCTAAAGAGCACTTAATTCAGGAGCTGCACTCACAGCACTCAAACTGAAGAGACACCCTTTGCTCCCCAGCAGCAAGGGGTGCAACTACATACAGAAGCCCAAGTGAGGTCAAGTTGTTTCTATTTCTCTTCAGTTACACTCTCAGTGTAGTTTTGGCAGGTAAAGATCATGAGTTTTCTATTGCAGTCAATAACAACCTATCTTTTCAGGGTACAATGAGGAGGCAGAGCCAGCTTTAACCTTGCTCATAGGCAGCCTACAGACCACCTCCCCAAATCACTGCCCTTGCAGGCTCCTGCCTGGCAGCTTTAGGACACTTGGATGTATTTATCCCTTGCTCAGGCTGCACTGTTACATCAAAAAACCTTTTCTGGAAGATACTAAAGGAGGAATAATGGCAAGTGAGCAGGAGGCCACACTGCCACAGAGTGTAACCATTCACTGATGTTACAAGGCACAGGACTTCTCAAGGTCTCAGTCTTACACAGGAAGGTACCTGTGCTGAGAACGATGCTCAGGAAAGGCAGAATCATCACAGAATCATCACAGAACCCCAGCCTGGTTTGGGTTGGAAAGAACCTTAAAGCTCCTCCAGCTCCAACCCCTGCCCCGGGCAGGGACACCTTCCACTAGAGCAGGTTGCTCCAAGCCCCTGTGTCCAACCTGGCCTTGAACACTGCCAGGGATGGGGCAGCCACAGCTTCTCTGGGCACCCTGTGCCAGCGCCTCAGCACCCTCCCAGGGAAGAGCTGCTGCCTCAGAGCTCATCTCATCTCCCCTCTGGCAGGTTAAAGCCATTGCCCTTGTCCTATCTCCTCCTCAAGAGAAGGATGTGACCAGCACTCTTCTAACTTAGGATTCATTAACACTCTCCTTCTTGTTTCCACTAAAGCTCCACCAGTGATGGGGTTTAGACTGCGCTTACCCAGCAGAAATAACTAATGGGAAACAAAGCTCCATATAGAAAAGTGGCAGAGGAAAGCCAAAGGAAAGGCATTAACAAGACCAGCAGCTGCTAAATTGCTTTGCATACAAGACGCAAGCAGCAAAGGCAAGAAAATATCATGGAGGGAAAAATAACCAAAATCTGAGGAGAGAGAGAGAGGGAAATCCACCTACAAAATGGCATTGCAGCCCCTGACTTAAGAGGACAGTACAAGGCCAGCCAGAAGACTTCCTTGTCTGGTATTCCATATGTCACTACAGGCCATTCAAAGGGACCATGCAGAAGAGCATCACAAGCCAAGTCTTCTGCAGGCAGATTATGTTCCCTGTTACACCCTTTGCAGCTGATGACAAGAGAAAGGCCACCGTGCGCAGAAAGCTTCTGAACACAGGTAAAGCCTGGAAAAGGGAGCATCCCAGATTCCATCTGGGAACAAGGCATGCATGCTAATAAAAGCAAGTGGCAGCAGGCGAAGAATGGACTAATAAGAGCTTGCCAGAGCCTGGATTTAAGCAAGTCCAGAATCATTTGCCAGAAAACTCATGCCAGGCCTCCAGAGCAGATGCCATCAGAGTTTTGGGCAGCACAAATTGGGATTTAAGAAAATATGTATCATTAGGAAACAGTGAGGAAAAGAGCCCAGCCAAGTGCTCAGGGAAGCAGCAGTCAAGAGCATGTAAGAGACTACACATCCATAAGGAGACACAGCAGACTCCTCCCTCCAGGAACTCTTCTTGGTCTGCTCAGAGTCCCAAACAGCACAAGCAGTGGAGTGGGCTGGGGGTGCTCCTGACAAGGCTGCTCTCAGCTGCAGTTCAGAGCTGATGTATGCACGCTTCCTCAGTCCCATCTGCAAGAGGAACAACAAAACCAGGGCCAAACCCAAGCTCACTTAATATTCATGAAGTGTTTATGCTTTTAAAGCTTCTGTTCTGGAATAAACTGGAGTAATTGCAGCACTTTTCTGACTTCAAACAGAAAAACCCCTCTGTGTAATCACTGCATCAAACAAGTTGCACCTACACTTGCTCGCTTGACTCAGATGAGGATCTCAGCTGCATATTGCTGCCATACTCACCATCCACAGAGATCAGCCAGCTCCAGGGGTGTGCAAACAGCATTTTAACACCCTTTAAAGAGACTCTACACTGGCAAAAAGCAGGAAGCCAGAAGAGAAACACACCAGATCATGGGGGAAAGGAAAGCTCATGAAAGCACCAACTGACAAAACACACAGTTCTGCCGTCAGCCTGTTCAGGTTGTTTTGCTTTTCACCTCTTAGCATAGGAAAGTGGAATGTTTGAGTATCCAATCACATCCAATTATCCCACCCCCCCAGATAGAACCAGATCAAAAATATCAAACCACCAATTTGCTGTTACATCCAATACAAAAGGACTGAGGAGGGAGTGGGGTGAGGAGGGGCTGGGGATGTATTTTGCTCTGCAAGTAGTAAATAACATTTCTCTCTAAATAAACACAAAATCTGCCACGTGGAATGACAAAGGGAAATTCCCAGTTACGGGAAATCTCTCCATAATCCAACACCAACTTCAAAGCAGTTCAATCTTTAGGGAGCTGACAGCTAAATGCTGCCACAACCCAGAACTAGATGGCAAGATCTTGCTGAAAAGGGTTGTGGAATAGGTTATTTCAAAGGGTGATTTAAGTTGTTAGATACCACAAGGGAACAATTCCTACGCTCACATCACCACCACTTTGCACTGAATTGTGCCGGAGGTTGCTGTGGCAGCATTTCCCAGCCTTTTATTAAAAAGGGAGAAAGGAAACTGAGCACATGGATTGGGAAATCCCTACTTGTAATGCAGAACAAGAGGGGCCATTGGCCACACTAACCTCTCTGGAAACATCTGGCACCAATAAACTGATTTGTAGCCTCATTTATTACAGATTTTAGCATTAGTTCTCTCCTCATTCTCTTTAGATGGTATTTACTCTGCAGTTCACACAATTAATTGGGGGGTGGTTTCTTTAAGCATGAAGCACACGTAGCAAAATCAGGATAGCCAAAATTAGCTCCTTTTCCTAGATATTCCCAATGTTAGAAGGTTCATTTCCCAGATTATATGAAGCAGATTAGAAATTCGGCCATTTGGGGTGACACATTTCAGTAATTTTGGACCATCTCTTGGCTTTATTGCAAATCAAGATTTCTTTCTCCACCTTAAGAACTATGTTTCAAAGACACAAAAAGATCAATATTGAGGAAGAAAAACCTTCCAGGAAATCAGTGCTTTAGGTGTCACTTCCAGAATTACTATTTTTCTATTTATGTATGTTGATACTTCTCTCTGGACAATTCTGATAGCCCAATGTGGCTTCTGTAATGCCAAATCCATTTATACAGTCCATAAGCTGCCTGCTGACCTGGCCTGGTGAGCCTATATAACCCCTACAGGATCTATATGCAGCCAGCCCAGGATGAGCTTACTTAACTGGAGTCATGGAATGGGGTGGCTTGGAAAGGACCTACTGATGGTCACCAGCTGCTCTCCAAAAGCTTCCCCCATATCCTCAATCCCATTTGGTACTTTTCCTTGAGTACTAGTACTTTGATATTCACTCCAGTCGTGGCCAGCTCTGTCAAGGGAAGCTGGACATCACTGAAGGTCCAGTCAGGTTTGTGCAAGATCTGATAGTTTTCTACCTGCAAACACAAGCTACAACATAAGAAGTTGGTTTAACAACTCTGGTAAAACCAGAATGCAGTTACTGCTGTGTGATCTATACTCAAGAATATATATTGCCAAGTATGAGGAATATATATCCTCCCCATCACAGCTTTTCCAGGGTAGCTCTTCCAGGTGCCCATGAGATTATTCAAGAGGATAAAAACAAGAACATGAACAAAATTACCAGAGATTGCCAAAAAGGTGGTCCTCCAATCACTGCCAGTAAATGCATGATTATTATGAAGATTTGTACTTCAGTCACATCAATTCTGATTAGGTACAAAAAGCCAAAAAGAAGCAAAATTATTCAAAGCCATTTCAAGGCAGTTATTTGCAAGCTCAGCAGCTCTGCTCTGTCATGCACGGTAGAAACCCTCCAAAACGAGGAGGAAATAAAGAGACAACATTTATAGACACTTTCAAATGCAAACAGCCATTTTAGTTTTATTGTTAGACTCAAGAGCCACACTTGTTTGATTTCAGAGTGCAATAAACCCCTCATTTTGTCCAAAGGCACAGCTGGAACTTGGCAGTGAGCGCTGCTGGCTGCAGAAATCAATATCTAGTTTTAACCTTGCCCACCAAAAAAAAAGGGAACTTGCTTCAGATGGTAAAATTCAAGACAGATATTTTTAATCCCTATTATATCCTTGTTTTTTAAATAGAAATATTCTCTCTGAATAGCATCAAACTCTAAAAAAAAGAAAAAAGCACAAATCCTCAAAGTAGTAGAAGAAAACTACACGTGAAACATAGACGATGGACTTGCTGGTGTTCTATATGAGGCTATAAAATACTATTCCATACTGGAGTACTGGGTCAAAAATAATCCTTCAATCAGCTTGAAATACTTACAGCCTGTTCCCCACCTCTAATGATACAGTTCTACCTGTAAGGCTCAAAACTGCATCTTGCAAATATACACTTTGCTCATACAAAACCACTGCTCATGTTATCCACTGTACAGGCATCTGGGAATAATAGCCCAGGGTGGGTTTTTGTCTGCCTTATATGAACACAAGGCCATATAATTCAGTTTAAGACCAGATCAATGTGCTCCCTCAAGTGCTCTCTCCAGCCTTTGCTCCAGGTTTGCAGTGGATCCTCTCATTTAGGGAATCTCATCTGGCAAAACTGTAACTCTGCAGATCAATATGCAGAAGGGCAAATCATGAGGCTGCAGCTAATTCCCACGTAGAACATACCCCAGAGTAAAAGAGAGCAGAAGAACAACTGTAGGTGGTGTTCAGTGCAACCTCTTATCTTGCTGTGGATGCTCTAACCATTGGCTGGTGCTTTCAGGAGGCTGTGAAGACCCAGCACCCACCTCCACGGGGCAACTTCACCTTTCCACCAGCCAAGAGACTTCCTAAACAAGTCCTCAGGAGCAGGACATGCACCTATGGAAGGAAGAGCAGATCCACATGTGGTGGCATTGCTGACAGCAAGCAAACTGGAGATGGGGCATCCAACCCTGACTATCACCACTGTGTCCTACCCCTGCTCCCTCCTTTGTGAAGTACATAAGCAGTGAAGCAGCAAAGGGGAGAATAAAGGATAAAGAAGATGGGAGAGACTCTTAGCATGTAAGAGGGAAGTTCAGCCAAAGCTGTCAGAGATCTAGAGAAGATTCCAGTAAGACAATTTCCTTTAGGTATCATTTCTCTGCACTACCCCAAACCTGGAGATAAGAGATGCACAGGAAAACCTCAGGGCTCTTCCTCTATTCTGAGCTGTTCAATAAGAACCCCTGTGGCAATCAGAGGGAAAAAATTCCTCTCCACAAAGAGGAAAGAATGTCCTAAAACATTCATCTTTTCAAGCCTCATCCAAACAAATTAAGCCATTGAGGCATCTTGAAAGGCAAAATAAAAGTGCTCAGCCATGCAAGGAGAGACACACACAAACCATCTGATTAAATGCAAATTGCTTCCTCCCAGCTTTTGGAGTCAGCATGGAAATGTGTTTTCAGTGTGCCCAAGTGAGGAAGGGCTGAAGCAGCTCCATGAACCAGGAATGTGGTTTTAGCCTGTTCCACTACTTCTGTCAATGACCTAAAAGAACATAAAACAGCTGAGAAAGTTCACAGAAACAGTGACTAACAGCTAAAGGGGGGAACTCATTTACAGCTGCGCTTGGACAGTAAAACAGGTTTCTTTTGGCAGCAGTAACCTGAAAGCAAAATAAAGTCATCTACTTCCAAAAAACCTTTCAGATCATGGAAGACAGTGTTCTGAAAGACAAGCTCTTACACCAAACAGAGCCCAAGCAAATGCATGGAAGCAGTGCCTGGATTCAGGTGAGGAAGACAGCATTAGCTTCTTTACACAGCCCTGGTACCACCAGCTCCAATAAGATGGCATCAGGCAGCTGGGAAGGGTTCAGAATGAAAGTGTGTTTGGTTAAAACACTCCTCCCTGACTTGTATTTGTTCTGCAACAGGAGATTCCTATAATGAGGCTTAACTTCAATTCTACATTAAGAGAAGATTCAACACCAAAGGGCTCCTTAAGACAGAAGTCAAAGACAAGATCAACTGAAGAGAAACTAACACCTAAACTATCAGCTAAATAAAGCATATGTTCGTAAAACCAAGGATGAAAAAGGACTGGGAACATCCTATGCTCATTAAAATCACTGTTAGATGACTTCAAAAGATGTGCTCGACACCAGTGGACCTCATGCCTGATGCTGGAACTACCCAGTGAAGTTTCTTTGCAGAAGTCCAACAGACACTACTTTGAAATCTAAGAATCCAGGAAACCCGAAATGCGGCTTTTCAAAGGAGACCACAAAAAGGAACAACATGTGGAAACAGAAGTTGGGTGAAAGGGAGAAGAGGCATGCTGTTCCTCTATTTGTTCAAGTGGAGTTTAAAATGACTGAGCAACTACAGCACCAAATCCATGCTGCTGCTAAAAGGAGCAGTCGTCACCACTGGAGAAGTCACCACCTTCTCCCCCAAACCCACCTGCTCAGTCCCACTTCCCCTCGTGCCAGCACCACAGGCCCATGCCATCAGCTGCATTGGGATATTGCCTTAGCTAAACTGACCCAGCCATATAAAGAAGAACAGGAAAGGTTCCTGTCCCAGTTTCTGGCATATCACCTTTCCTTATCCTTTTTGTGTGGGCTCCTGAATGACGCAAGCCCAAAGGTGAGGGCAGTGGAAGGTCTGAACAAAGCTGTGCTGAGTCAAAGTGACTGTGCAGGTACAGACTGACCTGACAGGGAGAAAGAGAAGGAATAAATGGGAATGAGGCTTCTGAATGCAACACAGGCAGACTGCTACCAGCCTCTAAAGTCCTAAACAGCCCTTACCCTTGAACATGGTAAAATAAGTGAAGGAATGCAATTAGAAAACAAAGCAACAGCGGGTTTGGCAACAAAGATCTTTGGTACCTTTGTAAGGAAGGGCACTGCCTGGAAAGCATCAACACGTCCTGCAGCTTAGAGAACATTCCTTGCTACTCCTTTAATGATTAACCTGTAGTTATGAATTGCTTCAAGGTAAAATGTGCTGGTAATAAAAAGACCCATAAATGGCCTCAGTCACTGTATTGCTTTTTAACTCTGGTACCACTGGGAAGGTGCCTCAGAAAATGAAAGACAAAAGCAGGGCTGCAGGGAAAGTGGCTTAGCTCAGTTTGGACACAGACTGACTGAAGCCTTTCTGTACTCCCCATACTGACCTTTTGAGGAATAATATATATAGCTTGCTCCAGTGGCTAGGGAAACTATTTGCAAAGC